GCACAACTGAAGTTCGACAAGATCACATTTTGTACCTGCTACAACTGCCACAATAGCTGAAAACAATTATGATGCCTGCATGTAATTCCAGTGCTGTGCTGTGGCCTTATGCTGCACAGCGCTGCGAGAGGCAATCTTTTCTCCCTTCTGATAATAAAGGAAAAAATAAAATTCATAGCTGAGATGGTTGACTGTATTACCATAAGATAAAGCTGTAACTGCAGTCTATCCACCCTATTCAGAATGAAAAAGGAGGTGAAATGCTTTAAACATTGATGCCACAGTAACCTCAGTATATCCCAGGACAGGAAATTTATCCAGCTATGCAAGAAAGCAAAGCAAACTGCTCTATGTGAATGTTCCAACATTTCTTCAAACCTATCACGAAGGTCTATGGCAGCTGTTCAGTCAGGAGCCCACTGGAAGACCACTGGACTTCTCAGGGAGTTGTCATCCTCCTTGCAAAACTAAGACCAGGCTACAGAAACACAATAGATTTAAATTATTACTAATTTTGATGATGATGATGACTTTTAAATGTTGTTTATGCTGTGTTGTGAGCGTTATATTGGCAATGCTGAACTCCAGGCAGTTAAAATTTAATGGAGTTGAAGTGACTAAATTAAAATAATAATGAGACCAAAGCAACTACCAGAATTATTGGAAGGTTATATATCTAAATATAACTTGTCCTGAAGATACTGCCAACCATTGCACCCGTCAAAGTAAATCTATAAAACCAGCTAGAATCAACGCCAGGTGTTTTTGTCAGAACAGGTAAAAAAAATAAAAATTTAAACAGTGGCTATCGCTGTGACCTCGATAGCTGTTTCACTCAGCCTTACCGGTGAACAAGGCGTTCAGCCAGCTTGTAAAGTCTTTATCTGAGAAAAATTAAGACATTCTTTTCTATTTCCACAAATTTTCTGGGCTGGGTTGTTGCACACAAGCCTGAATGGGCTGACGTTCTCATCAGAATAACCCAACGGTCAGAGATGGCACGCAGGGCCAAACACGTTCAGTGGCCACGTAGGCTAATGCCGTGCATTTGTTTCCTACGGGCATTCTACAAGATGCCTTTCTACTTTAGTCACGCAGAATAAATATTGTTTAGGAATTCTGGTTACTTGGAAGGAGAGTTCTGGGAACCGATTTTGAAGCACGGATGCAGAGAAATAATGCAGCACTACAAAGGGAATTCACCAACGCAGAATAAAAACCTTCAGGTGACAGATTCTGCATCAGCATAGTCGACAAAAGATCTAAAATTATGCTACTGCTTCTTCAAAGAATTTATGCAGGCAATGAATTCTGTGGACCGGGAAGTGTTTCATCTCTAAGTCATGCTTAAATAACAGGGCTAAGACTCTAAACTACGACCATAAATTACATTTGTCTCTTGCAGTCACCTAATTAAGAACTACACCAGATCACCTTCACCCTCAACGTAATAATTATTGTGAAAAATACACATTTTTAAAGGGTGGTTCAAATGCAGCTTAGGCGCACCACCTGTATGGTATCACTAACCAAAAGCCCCATTACAGCATGGCTTCATATTTATAGGAGTAAAACAAATTTCGCCGATTCAGAGCTGTGTGTTCACATTTCATTGCTTAAAAGCACCCAGACAGTTGAAGACTGTGGAATCAGTATGTTCAGGCAGAGCAAAAGATAAGCTAAGCTCAGTCTTTA